CCCCAAAACCCCAAAACCCCAAAACCCCAAAACCCCGAGATTTTATATCATATTGAAAAACTTGGATACCTCAATAGATCTTCATATAGAAGTCAAAAGCTAGCTCGTGTGCTTTAGCCCATGCTTTTTGAGAGAAATTGGCCTACTTGGATCTGCAAGGCTTGATTTATACTGCTTACAGACATTAACTGCAAATTCTTTCTCCTGTTGCATATTCTCAACCCTGTACTCATAAAATTTCTTGAGAAGAAAGGCTGGTGCTTCTTCAAGTTTTGAGATAATATCAAGTGTGTCATTTAACTTATCCTGTCTTTGGTTTTCTACAAGGACGTCACACCAGAAAGAGTCTGCAAAATTTGCTTACCAAACTTGATTTGCTGATCAATTCTACTACTGAACTTCCGATCAACACTTCCGACTAGTTTGCACAAATCTAGGTGTTAATATGAACATTACTTTGTATTCTCTTGGCTTCCTGATTTTTATGTTTGTAGAATATTTTATTTCTCTGAAAATCAGCACGCTCAATTTCATTCAAGCTTCTCTTAGGAGACCCGAGAGTTTTGGTTTCTGACATTCGGTTCTCCCTATTCCTCTTGAACAACTTAGCTTCGGGTGTCAAGCTCATCTTGCCCAGGTTCTATATATGAATCACAGCCTTCATACAGAGATCCGATTTCTAGTGATGAATTTAGAGGAGTTTATAACTTTAGTGGTTTGGGTATTCATCAAAGCACTTAAATCTCCATTTTCTACTAGAGTTAGACAATAAAACCCACTATTTTCTTGAGTCGGGAGGGAATTTTTGGATCTTAAGGGTCCATTAATGTCGCTTCAAAACTTCTTATATAAGCTTGGTTCTTTTCTAGGACTCAAGCTACCCTTATGTCGTACTGAAGCTAAATCCGTTGGCTGAAGAGTAAACCTGAACTTACCTTCAAGCCTTCGTAAGGGATAAAGTTTGTCTGCTGTGCAAAGTATTTTGACCCCAAGGTTAATTTAATGTCTTCAGAGTCCTATTAAGGTGATGGAAAAGCTACCTCAGTAATCTCATCGAAAATCAAGGAATCATTAATATCTTCAAGCTGACAGTGAATACTAATAGTTTCTGGATTTGACCTCTGGGTTGCAATGTTATCTATAATATTACAGCTACAGTTACTCAGAAAGATAGTTTTGTGGCACTTTTTAATTGATTCCATCCTTTCTGGATTCTTTAACTTTATCGATGGAATCTGAGAATTTTTCGGGAATAGATTCCTCACTTCACCTAAAACATTCTCCAAAAGAAGTTACTAAATTCTTTCTTTTCTAAAATCCTTAAACTAGCTTCTTACCATCAACTCCTTCATCCCTACATTTCCTTCCACCTCTAATTCAAGTTCTACCTATCGCATAAAATCCTAAGACCACACCTTTTCTACAAAATCGCTTTCCAAACCTTTTGCATTCCTCTAAATCCTTCTAAAACAACTCCTTACCCAAAGAACGGCTCATTTTCTCCCTCTGTTTTACTTCAGTAAACCCCTTATGTCTCACCAAACTTCCTTTATTTATACTTATAAAAAGAAGTGAAACCCTTGACTAGATCTTTAATCCTGGAGTCTCGGCATAAAGTCTAAAATAAGTTAAAATAGTTTTCAAAGAGTTTTAAAATTAGTTATAAGTGTTTTATAGGTTATGGACAATTTAGAATAGGGCATTACAGGATTTAGGGAGGAAAGGTAATTAATTTTTGAATTTTGACTGTTTTGCATTTTGGAGCGAACTTTGGGAAGTTTGGAGGTTTTCTGAGGGGTTGGAATTGGATTTTGAACCTTTGGATGTGAATTTTTTCGGTGATTGGAGATTTTATAATGAGGTGAGTTTTTGGTTAATAAATTGATTTTAGTTCAATTTTTTTTTCCTTTCTCATACTTTCTAAAAAATCCCTCAAACCCCATCAAACCGCTTATTTCTTACTCAAACACCTTCGCTTGCATCTCTCCCATCTGCTCCTCATACATCTGATCAATTATCCTAAACTCATCACCGCCTAAAAGTCACTTCTCATCCCTAACCCTCTACTCACCTCTCTCAAATCTCTTCAATCCCCCTAACCCCCCACTTCTTTGCCTCCTCCCCTCCTCTCTGCCACCTTCTACCCTACTCTGTACTTTCTTCTCTCCAGCACCCACAGCAGTAAACTCCATTGTTATATTTATTTTCTACCCAAATTAATAAAGCAGGGGTTTTGGGGTTTTGGGGTTTTGGGGTTTTGGGG